CACTGTCACGGGTAGTAGCCTACATGATCACCTAAATCTAACTACTAATTAGTTACTGGTTTTATTTTAGTCACTAATTACGAATTCGTTGTTACCCTATACGTCAGACTACTAAAGAAAGCCTGATAAAAGTAGCTTTACAAAAGTAATAAAATAAAATATGATATGATAAATAAAATCAAACATCGATTCTCCAAAGGGAAATCTTGTCTTACTAATTTATTATCTTTCTTTTCGCTGTTTTACTTGTTCTCTGAACGATAGAAAAGATGCAAACCTAGTGTTCTCACATTTCCAAAAAGCTCTAGATGAGGCGCTACACAAAAGATTAGCTTAGAAAATTACATCGGTGGGGATTGAGGAAGAACTAGTTAATGGGATTATATGGTGGTTGAATGGGAGAAAACAAAAGGTTGTTATTCACGCTGAATACTTGTCATTAGTGGAGTGAGTGCCTCAGGGGTCAGTGATTGGGTTTTTTATTTTTCTTATTTTCAATTTTAAACTTAGGAATACTTTTTTTTTATAAGTATATCGTATGTGTGAAATGTAACTTTATATTAGCATATTTATTGCTTCCCGATCACAAATTTAGTCGTATGTAGATATCAAACGTTATTATTATTATAAATATGTTTTACATAAAAAGCAAAAATAACTGAACATAGTTATTAGATATGTTAAATGTGATTATAAAAATGCTAAAATATATTGGCACCAAACGAAAAATTAAAAAAAAAACCCTGGTGGCAAACAAACAAATCGTAATAACAAACATAATTTACCCAAGAACATTCTAAATGGGTTGAAATACTGAATATCTTAGGTTCTGAAAACATAGTTTGGTTACAAAAATGTTTTATGTTCTATTTTAGCTAAGTAAAGCATAATATAGGATAAGAACAAATTTGAAATAAGCATAAACCTCTCCAGCGATTAAAAAAAAAGTTATTAAATGGTTATATCTGTTCAGTAATATATTAAAATATCATATAAAATATAAAGTATAGTTGTATAGTTTCTGGGTATTTTATTCTTTTATTTTTAAGAAATCAAATACCCCCAAATTTCTTTTCATATTCTTGAGGGCACTTATTGCCCCTTTTACTTATATGATAAAGCACTTCTGCTGTGATCATTAGTAATTCAGTAGCACGTCGATGGTAAAAAGATTCTAAGTAACAACCCTTTTGTATCTACATGACCATGTAAAATACCAAGACAACAGTCACACTAATATCAAACGATAGGCCTAAAGCCGGAAAGTTTCATATAATCTCATGAAAATTTTCTAAAATATGCAAATATTTATCATCGTAATCTAGTTTGTTTTTTTTCACCGTCTTTATATTTATTAATGTTTCATTCCTAACATATTTCAGAACCAAGCGCAGTTTTTATAAAGTTTTGATCTTTGCAATTTTTGTTTCAACTTTACTGTTTTGATTGCTATACTAAATAAGGTGTGCATATTTTTGCTCTATTGTAACTTATTTAATTAAGTTCAATTGCGATCCTTTCATCTTCATTTTTACTTTAGTTTATCCTTTCCTAAGAACATCTTCCAGGCTGTAGGAACACAGATCATGAACAAGACCTCTTGTTAGGCCTGATGGCACACCACATTATTTCGTTAAAGGTGATCCGTAACTGAAGTTACATAGTAGTAGTAATCCTGTTTGTGTGTGTGTTTTTTCAGTCTTTAAAATTGCTATCCGATCTTTTACAGCTTTTATCCTGCCACTATTACAGGATTTTGTTCTTCGTGAAGTCTAGATGCCCCTTACAGACGAAGAGTTTTACATATCGTCTTTAGTGATGTAATACATTTGATTGATCTTCTATTATCTTTAAGACCATCTCTCTTTCCATGAGGTGCTGCAGCCAGTTCATGGTAACCTTTATAGGAAGAAGACATTGTGAGATGCAGCACCCTCAATCTCTCCTAATTTTGGTATAGATTGTCCTCTATGTGTGAGGCTTGCATATATAACTTGAATGTGTATTCAATGATGCATGGGTCTTAGTTGAGAAGATACTTAATGCTGCATGGGTCTTAGTTGTGAAGATACTCAATGCTGCATGGGTCTTAGTTGAGAAGATAGATACTTAATGCTGCATGGGTCTTAGTTGTGAAGATACTCAATGCTGAATGGGTCTTAGTTGAGAAGATACTCAATGTTGCATGGGTCTTAGTTGAGAAGATAGATACTTAATGCTGCATGGGTCTTAGTTGTGAAGATACTCAATGCTGAATGGGTCTTAGTTGAGAAGATACTCAATGCTGCATGGGTCTTACCCATGCAGCATTTAGTATCTATCTTCTCAACTAAGACCCATGCAACATTGAGTATCTTCTCAACTCTGCTGCTTGTTCCCTTATTTTGTGTCTGTTGTTTGTAAAACGTCCCCTGTTTCTTCTCTAACTACACATATGTGTGCACTTCTCACAAATATTTTCTTTCATGCTTGATACCCAAAAATTCTTTTTTTTTTCTTTCGCTGTTAAGCACAAAACTACACAATGGATTATCAATGCTGACCATACCGCGGGGATCGGACTTCGAATTTTAACGTTATAATCACCAGAATTATTGTTGAACCACCGAAGGACAATATCCAGAAGAAATAAAATGTTTTCCTTTGACCGATCTATAGGATCTCTTGTTAAGAAAAACCTAGGAAGCCGTGTTCAACAGATCAGTATTAAAGATCATGACGAGAAATTATTTTTTTAAAGGAATAATGTCAATTAGTAATGACTTTTGAAGAAACGATCTTCCGATATCCACGATGTAATGAATTTTAAAAATTACATTTTTAGATACATAACTTTATACGGTGGTTCTGAAAGAACAGCGGAGATCACGAACCTGCTTAAAACGTTGCCTTACGGAGAAGATGGAAACGAAATCTGAGCGTGCTCTTTCTAAAATGAAATGCGTGATTTCAATCTAAATTTATGAGTCACTTTAAATGCAGAGTTTGTTTAATTTCTTTGTCCATTAAGAGCATGTAGCTGCACGCAGCAGGACATTTATTATCTATAAAATGAAATATGACTTAAAATCACATTTGATATAGATGACCGCAGATATATATATATATAATTATTGCAATGACTCTCATAAAATCTAGAGTTTCAGCTACAACAGTGAAACATTTAATACAAAAGTTTCTATAAATTGATATACTTTTTATTTCTGTTTTACCTGTCTGCTATTTGCGCCTTTTTGTTTTTCTTTTATTATGTAAACTTTTGCTATGTTTAGGTTTGTAGGATATACATATCTTTCTGATCCCCCACTCCAGTGGCTCAGCGGCAAGTCTGAGGGCTAAAAATCGGATTTCGATACCCGCTTTGAGAGAAGAGCACACATAGCCCATTGTGTAGCTTCTGTGTTCAACAACAAATAAACAAACATACCTTTCTGTTTAAACAAAATAAAATAATATATAGTAATTTCTTATTATTTTTTTTCTTGAGAATACTTAACAAAACAGTGGTATTATTGGTTATCGTATCCCCCTAAGTCAATTTATTGAAGCGTCTGAAGGAGGATAACTTCGTATTCTAGAAAAGTTGACGGAAACTTCAAGTATACAACTAATGCAGAATAGGGTAATAAAGATTCGGAAAGTAATCAATGTTGTTCTTTCTAATAGCTTTGAAGCCCCCCCCCCCCTTTTTTTTTCTTCAACTTGGTCAGCAACTTACGTATTGTTATATTTTAAAATACCCATTTACTTTAATGGCAAACCTCGTATTGTAATCAAAATGTCTTCAAGGAAAATAATAAAACTGAAGAGTATACTTTCCTCACCTTTGTTGAATCGAAATAGAAGACTTGATAATCTCGCAAAATGTTCGTTTTCAGATGGCTGAACTAAATTGTCACCCTAGGGAGATAGGCATTAGCGTCTCAGTCACTGACTGCGTGGAGACGTGTAGCTGGTGCGGAAGTAGGATCTAGTGATCAATTGGCAGTCAGGAACTGAGAAATTTTCTTTTTGTTACTCACACAAAGAGATATAAACCTGTGCTGTGAAAAAAAAGTAAAGGTTTGTATTTAAAGGTACATTTGGCTTACGTAAATTGTGAAAAGAGCTGATAAAAACAGCTGTTCCTGCTATTTCTAGATTCGCTCTAAAAACAATTTTTTTAAAAGCCGTGAAACAGGCATACTTAAATATTTCTTTAAAAAAATAGATGGCGTTATAAACAGGAGCGAAGCTCATTAGTAATCGATATGCTGCAAGAATGTTAAGCTGCACTTAAAAGTTTAGGTTCAGAACTTGAATGTCACGTTTCCTTTTGTCAAATTTTTAGCATTAAAACATAGCACATTTCAATATTCTTTTAAAGTTTAAATTATTCTTCAAACGTTTTGTTCAGTCTAGAATCAGTTGTTTGTGACAATGACAGTCGTAACTGTTTTAAGTGCTATGTAATTAGCAATTATTTCTTTCTGACTTTTTTTTTTCATATTGTAATAATAACGTTTTCCGCGAGTGGTTTGGTCAGTGGGAATGAAATGAAACGTTTTTTAAAGAGTTTGAAGAAGTAAAAAGTAATAAAACCCATGTGGTTATGATTGGGATTATTACAACAATGATAAGAAAATGTAGAAAAATTTCGTAGTTATAGTACTTACACATACTTAAGTCTGCACCTAACTCTTAATATTGTACATGATAGCGAGCTCTAGGAAAATATTGCAAACTTTATTAGAGCGTTGTGAAAAAACAGGAAAGTTCACATTACATGCTATCAGTTCGCGTGTATTTAAAATATTAAGAACACACCTTGTTTTTTGTGTAATATATTAACTTAGAAGAATATATATTATCATCATAGAAACGTAGATGACCATAAACATTGCTATTTTCATTTTCTGTTCCCATACATAAGTTTAGCGTTAGATTGTCTAAAAATGAAAAGAGTATTTAAAATACAATGGAATTTAAATTTTGTTTTTGTTTGCACCATTTGCTTACAGGATTATTCTTCTTTGAACTCGACAGTCTACGTGATAAAGCAGGAGAAGATCACCTCTGAACGGTTTATACAGATCTTATATATCTAAACTCTCGAAACAGAGCAAATCTCGTTTTTAGTATTAGGATTGACGTTAGCAATTTTTATTAATCGAAAAAAAAAATAAGTAAATAAAAAAATCTCATAATCGACATGAATTGTTCTATTGGCGAAGCTGAAGACATGGTTTTGACAACTTCAACCAATCCTAAGAAGAAAGAAAAAGATAACTCCAACCTTAGTTTAATCTCCAGATGCTCTTCTACAGACAGTGAACAAGGAGGACAGGAACCAGGATGTTCCACACGCCTACTTGAGTCGGATAATTATCAACCATTTGTCATTCACCTACCGCAAAGCAGACAAAGTACCTCCGCTGACACAGATTCTAATTATTCCTTACGAACTCGAAAGTCTTCTCTTAACAACTGTCCTTTAGATGTTTTGTTTTTCCACTGGAACTGGGCCGGACTGCGATTAGGGTGTTTCGTAGTGTTCGTATGTGTTCTTGTTGGAATGTTCTGTGTTGTGCTGAGGTCAGTAACCTCCCAGACGTCTCATTGTGTCCCAGCTAGAGGATGGTGGCAGGGCACTGTGTCCTATGAAATTTTTCCGGCCTCCTTTCAAGATTCTGACGGCGACGGATTCGGGGACTTTGCTGGGCTACGCTGGAGACTGGATTACGTACAGAAACAAAACGTGGCATCAGTACGTTTGAATTCAATTTTCAGTGCGTTAGACTACCCTCTGGAGTACACACACGTTATCGACTTCAAGAACGTTGATCCTCATCTAGGCAGAATTTCAGATTTTGAGGAGCTCGTGCAAGACATTCATGCACGTGGTTTACACGTGATATTGGACATTAACCCGACACTTACCAGCGACCAGCATCCATGGGCAGCTCACTGGCAACAGAACAAAAGTGGTGAATACCAGCATTTTTATATTGAAGTCAACGAGAGTAAGGTAATTTTTTGTTATCATAAAACTATGTAATGAACACGAATATAACTTCGGTTTCTTTGTTTCTTGAATTTTGCGCAAAATTACTCGAGAGCTGTCTGCGCTAACTGTCCGTAATTTTGAAGCGATAGACTAGAGGGAAGTCAGTTAGGGATCACCAGCCTCCGTCAACTCTTAGGTTATTCTTTTACTAATGAATAGTGGAATTGACGTCACATTATAACACCCACACGGCTAAAATTACGAACATGTTCGGTGACTGGATTCGAACCCGCGACTTATAGATTGCGAGTCGAGAGTCTTAACCATCGGGCCATGCCAAGCCTTTGAATTTCGGACATGTGAGATGACAAACAGGTCTAGTAGCAAATAGCATACATTGGTGAAAACGTAAAGTTACAGTTGTTTTATTTTTTTCACTATCTTTTATTGAATTGTGTTTTATCAGTGACAGGGGTAGCTAGTAAAGACAATAATGGGGCTGAACTTACCCTATTTAAATTTTAGTCAAGCTGAAAGAATATTAAAAGCGCAACTCAACAGTATCCTTTTGTTTTTTAGTAAAATATTCCCTGGTAGTTCAGCGATAATTTTTAGGGTTTATAATGATAGTATCCTGGTAGTTCAGCGATAATGTTTAGGGTTTATAATGATAGTATCCTGGTAGTTCAGCGATAATGTTTAGGGTTTATAATGATAGTTTTCGAGATGGATTCCCACAGCGCAGATAGCTCATTGTGCAGCTATGCTCTATAACAAACAAACAGATATTTATATCTAATATTACGAGTCTCTAAGTTTGAAACTGAAAATAATCTTAAAAACGATTTGTAAGTTGAAAGTCCTCAGCGGAAAGTTTGAAGGTTTATAACTCGAAAAACCTGATTTCGATACCTCTGGTGGGCACAACATAGATAGTCCAATGTGTAGGTTTCTGCTTAATTACAAACAAACAAAGGTATTATTAATTCATAACATATTATTGTGACTTTTTGCTACTGTTTATGTGTTATCAACTCTTATACAAGTCATTACTGGATTACGTTTTTTTCGAAGTAATTAACTATAATATCTTCAAAACCACAGAATGTGTTATTATAATATGAACACGTCTGTGTAACGGTCTTAATTTGAATATCAAATGGAAAACCGAAATCAAGTTGCTTTTGGGTCAGAGTGAAACAGTTGGAAACATGTAAAAGTCTTTATTCTCTGAACTTGTAGAGGATATATATATATATATATCTAAAAAATACGAAAGCGGTCCATAGAATACCATTAAATAACATAAAGTTAAATTCCCGCCATTTACCCTCATACAGCATCATAATATCGAATTAGACTCAGCTATGGACGGACGTGGCTAAGTGGCTAGTGTAGTCGGACTGTGAATTCGAAGGTTCGTGGTTCTTTGCGGTATTCGACTGGCGGTTAAATCCCACAGTTCAGCCCGATAAGAACAGCCAAAGAATTGGCCTGGGATGCTGTTCACTAGCTGGCTTTCCTCTAGTGTAGACCTGGTATGGCCAGGTGGTTAGGGTGCTCGACTCGCAATCTGTGGGTCGCGGGTTCGAATCCCCGTCACACCAAACATGCTCGCCCTTTCAGCCGTGAGGGCGTTATAATGGGACGGTCAATCCCACTATTCGTTGGTAAAAGAGTATCCCAAGAATTGGCGGTGGGTGGTGATGGCTAACTGCCTTCCCTCTAGTCTTACACTGCTAAATTAGGAACGGCTAGCGCAGATAGCCCTCGTGTAGCTTTGCGCGAAATCCATAACCAAGAAACAAACAAGCCCTCTAGTGTATCAGTTCATAATTAGAGATAGCTATGGGCTGATAGCTCTCCGTGTAGAACAACACTGAATAATATAAAGTTTTCTCATCTATTTAATCCCATACAGTATGACAGAATTTGCAGTAATAAATATAAGTAATACATTTTAAAACTATGAATATTTTTCTTGATAATGTCTAAATTCTTGGCACTTGGATATCCTGTGGTGGGTCGGCGGTAAGTCTCAGGACTTATAATGCTAAAATCCGGGTTTTGAGTCCCCGGGGTGGACAAAGTGCAGATAATCCATTGCACTAAAAAACTCCAACAACTGATCCTTAGGTTCAACCATACTTATAATTATTTTAAGTCTGTTTGTTTGTAATTTAAGTACAAAGCTACACAATAACCTATCTGTGCTCTGCCCACCACGGGTATCGAAAACCCGGATTCTAGCGTTGTAAGTCCGCAGACATACCGCTCTGCCACTGGGGGGTTATTTTAAGTCATAATTGGTTACACTGTCATGCTATTGAGCTGGCATTAACAGTAACTGCGATAATGTTGTTTTAAAAATCGCAATTCATGAAATGCCCTTTATCAGTTAATTTTTTTATCTTTTGATAGTATTTACATAAACCTTAAAAATGAAACCAAGCTATGCTTAGCAGGAATATTCATTCTGAAAGATATTGAAAAATTATAAATATTAACAAACTTGCCTAGAAAAATCACTCAATAGTAAAAATGCATCGTAATGAGCAAATATTAAAATAATAATATGAGTACCACCCTCCAAGTCGCTGTTTTATACTCTAAGAATGAAACAAAACAATACACATGATACGATTTAGAATAATATATAAACTATGATGGCTTGCATTTTGAAAACAAAAATCCATGTTTTTGTCGAGTAAAATTAGATTACACTCAACTATGATTAGTTTGGTCCACTTAAGTTTACTTTACCTCTTAGCAGCTAAGCAGTGAGTTTGTCTACGCTTATAATTCTTTAATATATATGCTAAGCCTGACCCAGAAAGTTTAAATCTACCAACGTTCAATATATGTTTGCTAAATGTTAACTAACACATCCTAGTCAAAAAGGTTGACAAATTATGTACGAGCTTAGAACTGAAAAGATGTCACAAACTCGCTTGCAATTTTAAAATATGTAGATATTTTTCATTGACCCAGAGAAAAGGTAAAGCTGATAGCATTACGGCTACAGACTTAATTTAAAAAGTTAATTATAACGTGAAGGTGTTACAGCTGCTTCAGTGACACGAGTGTACTTCTAACAAGGCAGAAGGCTTGACAAGGGTATATATAAAATATACTTAATAAGATAGAAAAAAGAAAAAGGTGTCAGAAAGAAAATCTGCTATGAAAATAATACCATATGTATAAATAAAAGTGAAAATAATTTTAGGAGTAATTTCAACCTGCACTGCGCCTTTTGCGACACGTTGACTAAATAGCCAGGTCAGAGACTCTTAGAGGTCAGGTATGGTCGTTCCTAATTTTGAACTACTGACCAGGAAAAAGCAGCCAGTCAGCCAGTAGCAACCGCCGTGACAAATGCTTTGTTCGGTTTTGAACTGAACTGAAAAAGGTGTGAAGCGCTTTCAGGGGCAATATTGGTGCAAACCCTGGATCTTCAGGTCCGCAGTCCGGCACATTAAAAATATCATCATGTTATATTATACTTTATTCTCATAATTTACAGCCAAATTTTGTAAGGAAAACCTGTTAGCAAGATTTTATCTTAATGAAATTATGTCATAAATTCGTGAAATTAAATCAATTTTAGCCACCCTGAATTGGGTACCCAGTGGTATGTCTGCGAACATACAACGCTAGAAACTAGGTTTCGATACCTGTCAATCCCACTATTCGTTAGTAAAAGAGTAGCCCAAGAGTTGGCGGTGGGTGGTGAAGACTAGCTGCCTTCCCTCTAGTCTTACACTGCTAAATTAGGGACGGGTAGTGCTGATAGCCCTCGTGTAGCTTTGCGCGAAATTCAAAATAAACAGCCTGAATTGGTATGATATGAAATTTTCAACTAAAAGGTAAATTAAACATTGCAATTCTTATATATTTTTTAGCCCCCTAGTGGCACAGCGGTATGCCTGCGGACTTACAACGCTGG